GTGGGCTGGCACCATCCAATGGCTGCCATGCTCCTTTGCCTGCAGAACTGCCAGCTATGTCCTCAGAGGCAGAGAAGGGATGTGATCTGGCCCTACAGAAAAAGTTTGCTGACCCCTGCGCTAAAGGATGCCAGTGGACAAATGACTGATTCAAAGATCATTATCAAGTTAGAAGGCTATGGGATTTGGTGAGTTACTGTATGTAAGGAAGAATACAGCAAGCAACAGAATAAAATCAGTAAAGGTTCTGACCAAACTATGCCAGCAACTCTGGAGAATGGCACAGTGGCCAACAGGTTGGAAGAGGTCAGTCTACATATCAGCTCCAAAGGAAGAAGAGTATGCAAACTATTGCACAATATCCTTAATTTAATGTGCTAGTAGAATAATGCTTAGGATCCTCCAACACAGATTAGAGCCCTATGTGGAAAAAAAGATGCAAGATGTTCAAGTTAGTTTAGAAAAGGCCAAGGAACAAAAAGCATTATTGCTGATGCATGCTGGATAATTAAGAAAGCCAAAAAGTACCCAAAAGAAGTCAATATGTGATGCATAATTATAGAAATAATTATTCATAATTATTTAATTGGGTCATCATTGCAAGCATGGAATGTCCTCAGAAAAAATGGGAATCCCAGGACACCTCACTGTCCTCATGCAAAACGTACACACAGGTCAGGAAGTCAGTCAAGGCGGGACACGGCAAAAGAGACTGGCTCCAGGTTGTCAAAGGAGTGAGTCAAGGCTATATACTCTCTTATTTATTCAACCTATAGGTGGAATATATAGTGAGAGAAGCTGGACTGGAAGAAGATGAGCACGATGTTAACACTGGAGGAAGAAACAGCAATAACCCATGCTCTGCTGATGACACTACTCTAATAGCTGAAAATTCAAATGATCTGCAAGCTTTAGTAATGAAAGTCAAGGAGCAAGTGAAAACATGGGATTAAGATTAAATATAAAGAAGGCCAAACTAATGACAACAGATATAGCAACCAGCTTTAGAATTAACAAGACCTTGAAGTTGTGGATAGCTTCTGCCTTTAGAATCAACGATCAACAGTAAGGAACTAGCAGTCAAGAAAGGTGCAGCAGACTAACCCTTGGTACAATAGCAATGAAAGCCTTAGAAAAGATATTCAGATGCTATGACATATCCATACCTAAAGACTCCAGGATCATCTAACAATTTTTTTCCCTATGATGCTCTATGGAAGTGAAACTTGGATTTTGGAGTAACAGGATAGAAAACTTTGGTTTTGGAGAAGACTCCTCAGAATGCCATGAATACCCAGCAAAAGGAACAAATGGTCACAGAACAAATCAACCCACTTGAGGCATAAATGACCAGGCTGAAATCATCATATTTTGGATCCATTGTGCAAAGGCCCAGCTCTCTTAAGGAGGGGACTCCTGCTGGGAAAGGTGGAAGTAAAGAGAAGAAGATGACAGCAACAAGGTGGATGGACTCGATTACAATCATTGGGAGATCTGATAGACCAGATTAGGGATAGATCATCATATAGAGAAGGTCTATCTATATGGCTGCTAAGATTCAACTCCAAACTGATGGCACATAAACAATTAAAAAATATAAATTTACTCACAAAACTAAATAAGCAATATGCATAATACAGTTAGGTGTACTTTTCTTTTTAGTTACACAGCATGGTTTTTCAAATAGAATTTATATTTGGAAAGGGAAAAAGGGAAGAGTGACAAGATTCAAAAGGCAATGCATGTATATTCTGCAATCTTTGTAACTTTGCAATTCTTTTAGCAAGAAAAATAAAATCAGCACTTGGTGCTTATTGTAAGACTGTCCAGATAAGACAAAAGCACAAACAGGGGCTGTGCCTGACTTGCCTTACCGTTACTTTATGTTGTCCTGTGAGATTTGGTGACTCGCAGAGCAGTTGGGTCTCAGACACAGTAAGAGCGCAGGGAGTGTCTCCAATGAGCACAGTGTAGTTTAACCGGGAATTACCAGATGCTGGTGGGAGCAGGTTGCGGCCCTTTAAGAAGAATAAAACTGGATTTACTGATAATAGTCAATCTCCTATTTTTAGTTCATATCACTTTGTTCAGCTTTGAAAAGGAAGGAGCAGGAATGGAAAGAAAGGAACCTCAGGCAACTGAAGGGATAGGTCCAATAGCTTATTCTTGGATGAGGAGAAAGACCAATGGGTGATCAGAGTGAATATGTACTTACAGTGGTTTCCCTCTCCTGTCTTTGACGCTGTAATGGGAAGATGCAACCAAGGTTTTTCTCTTCTTAGCAACTAAATTTCAATCCTGCACTTGTACATTGTGAGTACCAGGATTATTAGCATAATGGACTTCACTGAACAGGTCCAGGAATACTGAATAACACTGTCAAGCTTCATAACTGTGTAATTAGTGCATATCTAATACGACCAGGAGTTATGCTCAAGAAGTAGGTTTGTCTCTAAAACCTGTAGAAACAGGGCTGAAAAAATTATTACCTTGAGGATAAGAGGAGAACTTGGCTTGAGCTCCAACATACCAGATGGCAAAGATTCAAACACAGGATCTGGATAATAGACAAAGTTAGTTCTGTTGATGATCAACAAGGCCTGGACGTTGTCCATGATAAAGCCAATCTCATCTGGTCGATCACCAAGCTCTGAAGGGCTCCTGACTGGGTTATCAACGGAGGGAGCATAACACACCATAGTGGTATCATTGTAGACTGTACAGTTCTGAAAGGCAAAAATTAGTAGGCTTAACCACTTTTCTCTCTCATTAATTTCATCTTATTGCCAAGAAAAACCAACGGCAATTTCCTCAAGCTATCTGCCACACCCTTCTTAACTTTTTCACACTACTAAGCAAGTGCCCCTACTGCTAGCATGCTGTCCTCTCTGGATTGCTGTCCAATACTTTTACCAACTGGGAAATGGGAAAACATAGAAGACAGCAACTTCCTTCCCTTTTTCCAGCAAAAGTGTATTAAGAACAGAAACCAGCCACTATGTGGAGGAACAGTAAAGCAACCCCTTGGAGTCATGGGGGAGATGAGTATCTTGACAGCAACAGGCAGGGGGAAAGTTTCAGAGCCAGGAGGTAGGATGAAGTAGGAGCTCCTGCCAATGTAGAGCTGCTTGTGTCATACCTCCAAAAGAATGCTGTGAAATCTTTTTTTTGGAGCAGAAGCTGAGCCAATAATTAATTGATTCAGCTTTTCAAACAGCATGCAAGCCCCATGGCATTGTGGGGAATCACAGATTTCAGCCTGGCACAGCCCCCACATACAGCAAGGGCACTGTCAAATGTAATTAATTCCTAGGAAGAAATGTGTACTTTCCTCCCACATTACTCAATAAAACAATTACTTAAATCAGGAGTGGGCAATCTTTTCATTGTTAAAGGCTGGACTTAGTGTGTGTGTGTGTGTGCACACGCGTGCGTGTATGTGGGGGAGACAGAGAAGGAAATGGGATGGTTCCATATCACATGTCAGTGAGGCTGGGTTTGGGGAAGAAGAGTTTGAGTGTTTTCTTTGTTTTTTAAAACTGTAGTACAGTATGCCTATTTGAGGGCTTCTACAACCATTTTCATTATTTGTAGTAGTAGTAGTTGATGCTGTTGTTGTTATTTTATATCCCACCTTCTTGCCAGCACCTCAAACCAGCTTATGTGGGGTCTTCTTCCACTTTATCTCTCCCCGCCCCCCCATCACGCCTGGGGTGAGAGAGTAATCTAAATTTCCCCAGTAACTTTCCGTGGCTGAGGGTGGATTTGAATCTGGGTCTTCCCAGTCCTAGCCCAACAACTACTACACCACACTGGAAAATGGCTGGATACCATACTGTCAGTCTTTAGAAATAATGGTCAAAGTGGAGATTCATGGGACAGAGGTTGCCTTCCTTAAATAAGATTAAATTTCATGGTGGCATTATTATGGGTGAGAGATTCAGGTGACATATCCTATGACATTTGTGACATCAATTTAAGTACTATTAGTGCTTTGGTCAAATCTCTCTTAAAACTATCCAATATTTAAAAATATATGCTGTTATAATAAATCTGGTTTGCGCCTTTGCTGACTTAACTGAGTTGAAGTATAACAAGATACTGCATTTACTCTTTATGTTCAAAAAAAGGAGAAAATGTTTCTGGTAAAAGTCAGATTCCTCTTTTTTTTCTCCCCCCAGATTTGCAACTTATGGATAAAATATGCTGGTTAAACTACTGTATTTTACATTTTCTTTCTTCATACTCTTTTAGACTTTCTTCCTATTGTCCATTCTAAGGAGAAATAAATTAAACAATTACATTTCCAACTTGTTCAACTGATTTGGGGGAAGAAGGGAAAGATTAGATTTAATAATAATTTAATTAGATGCAATGGCACATTTCTCTGAGAAATTTAGAAACAGAAAAGGGTTAGCATAAATGAACTCAGATCATTTCAACAGAAAGCAAAAATTTGACTTCAGGAAAGCCTGGACATACTTTGTCACGTGAGATAACAAATGCAAAAATCTGCCTAGATGCCAATTTTCAAGTATGAACTAAATTACCATCACCCAAACTCGAAGACTGCTGTGGTGGTGGTGGTGGTGATTAATTGCCTTCAAGTTAGTTTTTGATTCCTGGCGACTGCCTGGACAAGTCCCTGCAGTTTTCTTGGCAAGGTTTTTTGGAAGTGGTTTGTCACTGCCTGCTTCCCAGGGCTGAGGGGGAGTGACTGGCCCAAGGTCACCCAGCTGGCTTCGTGCCTAAGGCGGGACTAGAACTC